GTGTATTCTCATTGCAAAGAGTAAACTGTAGATTAGTGTGACTTCCTCTTCTTCTACTGATTATTAATGGAGCAACCTATGAGCAGAAGGCCAATTTGGATTAAATCTATATTTATCAAAATTATATTATCTCTTATTTTGGATCAGATCTTACACCTGGGAACATTGAAGAATATGTAATATGAGAACAGCTTGGAAAATTTGCCAGCACATTTAACGACCTCTGAGCTTTCCAACATCTCTACCATCTCTTATTCTATTCTCTCTGGATTAAATCTCCTCTCACCACAAATATTCATTCTTCAGCCTTGTGATCCATTAAATGAAAGCTGGGATATTTTAAGATGATTGTTGCAGGATCTGAGCTGTGTGTTGATGGATGGAGTTAGGAAAAGACAGAAAAATGAACAAAGTAAAGACCACCTGGCTGTTTTAATTTAAAACAACATTTTAACCCAAATGTACGCGGCTGAGAAAATAGAAACTGTCAAACTGACAGACTGAGAGACATTGAAGGTTTGAGGACAGAGTGGTTGATGAGGATGAATGAGACAGATACCTTTGATGACTTTCATTATCACCTGCCATGTAGTCTCTTGTTCAATGTTGTGTCTGTCTGTTAGTAAAATATCTTTTGAACTTTTAGATGAAGCATAATGAAGTTCATTGTTAGTAATTGGTGGACAGATTTGAACAAACCATGAAACATTTTTGTTTAAAGAATTGCCATGCAATGCAATGGGAGATATTCACTTGGTTTCATTCATTCAAAAAAGAGAAATGTTTAAAAATGCAGTATAGCCTGAAAAAAAATGAACAGTTGTTTTTAATTGTCACCCCTTATCTCCCTAATTTCAAAGAGACTTTTAGAAACATTTATAGAACCAATGTTTAGGAAACCAGAATTCAATGAGCTGGTATTACCACAGTCATCTATAAATGTTAACAGTATGTCCTGAGCCAAATTGTGGATCATTTGTCCATCGACCGCTGCTTTCATATGCATTTCCCATTAATGCCACATTATCTGAGATCCATGTTTCAGCTGTGGGAAAGCTGATATGATAATTATCATACGGAGGCTAAGCTCGCACCAATGTCAGACAGGTCTGCAATGCAACATGAGATGCACTTAGAGCCAGGACCTGTGACCTTGGTGGCTTCTGATGCCATAGTGCGGCGAGCAGGAGAATTAGTCCAGAGTCTTGATAATGTCCAGTCTAATGTATTTGGTCCAACAGAGCTGCACACACAGAGGAGAAAAATGCAAAACTTTATCATAGCCAAGCAACAAATCTCAACATCAACCAGAAAATTTTCAAGACGAGAAATCTATTTTTTATCAGGGGGAATAAGTCATAATTCATATTATATATATATATATATATTACAAATGACTTTTATTTATCAACAGTGATGTGATCCTTTAAATTTTTGATTCAAAGAAGAGGAGAAAAATGCAAAACTTAATAAAACTTCATGTATGCCTATTTTAATTCACCTGTTATGTTTTGTTACATTTGATTTGGGGTTTTCAGCACTATTAACTGAACTGAAACATATATTCATTGTATTCTATATAACTGGACTTGAACCACACTTAATGATCTTAAACGAGGATGACTTGCTGTGGCAACCCTTGAAGAGAGAACAGCTGAKAGAAGAACTAACCTTCTGGAAGCAAATGAGTACACCAGTAAGGAAGTAATGAGCTCATTTCAGGATTTTCTACTGACTGAGATTTTTATGTTACACTGATTTAAGAGAAGGGACGTTTGAGGAGAGGGACTCAAACTGGAGAGCAACACATTTGTAAAATAGTGTATCTGAAAGCAGAGTAATAATCCTCTCAGAAAGACAGAAAACAAATCTTGTCTCTGATTAAAGGTAATAAAGAAGCTCCACAGTGTTGCTCCTACCTGTCTTCTGATTTGCCATTTGTCTGCGCAGAGCAGCGGTGGCTGCAGCCTGCTGGGCAGAAATGGTGACAGGTATGGTTCTCTCTGCTGGGGGGGCTCCATGTTTTACAGTCTTTGTGACAAGAGCCGTGCTTTCAGCTCCACTGAGGTTGATCTTATTAGTTGGAACTAAAATATATAAAAAAAGAAAAATCATAAAAGAAATTAGTTTTCAGGATCTACCCTCTTCATGTGTAAAAATGTGACTTACCAACTGCTGCCTCAGTTACTTACCAGGACTAGCAATAGGACTGAGCCCGAAGCCCACACCTGGTACTGGGTGAATCTTTGTTAGAGGAGTGGACTGGATGGCTCCAAAGCCTGGCTGAATGGAGGGGGTCCTTACAACCGTGGGGTGGCGGGGGGTGGTTAATRCTGGAGCCAAAGCAGTCACAGGTGGAGGCTGAAGTGGCTGCAGTTCCTCCTCTTCCAGCTCCAAGTGAGGCGGGTGGGGCTCCAGAGACTGGGACAGGGAGGACGTCGAGCTCACGTCGTCCAGGTCTTCGTAGTATTTAGGTGAAAGGAAGGCTGAGCGAGACAGGTTGGCTGCAAGAGAGAAGATTTATTTAGTCAAATGTAAAGTAAAAAAAAAAATACTATATTAATTCTGTAGAACTTGATATGTTGTTTATTAACTACAGTTCCCAAAAGAAGCCTTTTAAATTCACTTTAATAATAATTATGGTAATAAGACAATTTGTACGTTTTCATACAATCAGAAACTAGCTGTACCTGGGGCAGTTGAGCGCACYGGAGGCATCTGTCCCTTTGACAGGAAGTTGCGCAGCTGCGACTGTTTAGCTGGTGATAACTTGACCGCTGCAGAAATAACTAGCGTTAGTCACTTTAAATACTTTTTTTGAAATTGTTTATATGAAAAAATAAATCTATCAGTAGATACCTGGAGATTTGACTTTTGTTTTAGGAGGAGTATCATCCAGCCTGGCTTTCAGCARCGCGCTCCTTAAACTCTCGAGCTCTGTTTCCAAACTGAAACAACAGAAACAAAGTTGGTCATGATTAAYGTGTTACCCGACAAAAGAAAATAGGTAACACTTTCTTTTATGGTACCCTTATTACCATGTAATTACAAGATAATAAAAAAACGGTAATTAAATATAATTACTACCTTATTACCATGTAATTAYGTGGTAATTAGGGTACAATTTTACTATGTAACTAATTGTCTGCAGTAATGTAGCACTTACCTGGTAATGCATTAAAATTCACTATAACACCTAAATAAGTAGTAGGTAATTTGGACACTTTTAAAGTTATTTTTTTTAATGGCAATTAACCACTAACCCCAAAATTTAGTTGCATTCTTTTGGTTATAAATATAGTGTTGAGTTACTATTGCATAGTAATTTGATTGTAGTTACCCAATAAAGGTGGTTTTACCAACAGTAGTTTTTCTTTTGTACCGTAATTACCACATCATTACATAGTAATAAAGGTAGTAATTACATTTAATTACCATTTTTTTATTACCTTGTAATTACATGGTAATAAGGGTACCGTAAAAGAAAGTGTTACCAGAAAATAAAGAAACTGGAAAAATTAATATATTTTACAGACCATGGCATAAAAAGGAATGTGTTTAGCCCTTTGGACATTTTACAGATTAGTGAAAATTACCTCTACCAAGTGGTTGCAAAGATTGTTTTATAGACATTTTTTGAAGAAGGCACAGATTTTCTTCTTTACAAACTAGGACATGGTTAAACAAGATTTCTTGTTATTTTTAAGTACTCAGAAAAGAATGTAACGTGGACGCTGGAGGTTAAATTCYTTTTTAATTTTTCAAGTTCTAGTGTAGCTTCAAATTAAGGCTTTTTAATTTAAACATTTATAGAAAGTGTCTCCAAATCTAATCTTATCGTATCATTTTTAGTCACATTTCAAATCACCAAAACGTTGTATAAATGTAATTCTGAGTTGACTAGTTTTTGTCAGTCCCTACCCAGCCGTGGTTGCAGCTGCAGTGTTTCGGTCTCTTGGAGCAGTGGCTGTTTTGCTGTAGAGGCGCAGTGATGTCAGATCTTGGACCAGCTGATCCAGGGTACTCTTCTGCTGGTTGATGATGTACAAGTTGTTGTACAGTGTGGTGAACAGACCCTCGCGGCCGGGCACGACCATGTGTCTGTGAAGAAGAGATGCATTTTATTTACAACTAAACGATACACAATGCACAACACTCACCATTTAGGAAACCAAAACAGCCATCATGATCATTAAGTTTTTAACTCACTTCTGTTTTTTCTTCTTCTCCAGGTGTTTCTCCCATTCTACATCCAACACATCGTTAACGTCCTCTACAGCAAAAGTGACATACTGGTACAGCCTGCGGATCTCCTGAGTAAMGATAACACAAAAATATATAATAATTAGTAAAATGTTAGGTGTATGCATTCAAAAAGCAGGTGACTAATTGACTTTTTGTAAATACWTTTAGAAACATGATCCGAGTCAGTTTGTTTTTCCGTTTCTCACCTTGAGTTGTTCTTCATTGCGTGGATCCAGAGGCTTCTTGTACAGCAGCTGTCTGTAGTTCCTGTCTTTGCTCAGCTCACTCTGGGTCTTGGCRTCTTCTGCACTAGCAAAGCCCTCCAGTAAAGTGGTCTTCAGTGTACCGATGTCCCCATGGAGAGACTTTGAATTGGAGACAACATTTGAGGAGAACTTTTATTTCACTTTTTTTTTTCAATTTGCATTTAGACATTTTAAACACTCTGTTACACCAGAGTGCTGGCACTTTCTGATTGGGCAACTTTGTCCTTAAATTTATAAGGCAGTTGTCTTTTTTGGAATTCATTACAAAAATAAATCTAGAAAAAAAAACTAAATACCAAAAAACAGATGCTATAGATAACTACAGGTTTGACAGAATTCTGGTTCTGCCAAAGTTGGGTCCTACAAAAGAGAACCTAAAACTCCAMACATCCTGAAGCAAACACTGATGATGCTGGCCCTCGTCCACCCTTTTGCTCTCAGACATTATAACAGAAGGTGGTTTAATCCCACAGTTGTTGTTGCAAGCTTTCATGACAATTTGGATTCACAAGTATAAAATATTCTCTGCTATTAATACAAATATACCAAAGGYCCTCTGGAGTCTATATCATAATAGGGATGTAACATCAATCCACATCGATATATTGATTAAATGATTCAATTCTTTATTTTATGCCTGATGTGAACTGATATCATATGCCCATCTAACACAATCCTTTATGTTAGATGGACATTTAATATCACATCATATTGATAGCAGACTCGTGAATCAAAACCACATTGTGAAAGACTTTGTGATATTGAGAAATACTGTACTGTCAGCCAGACAAATCAATATATTTTATTGTGATAAATCTATAACATATTATTTCTTTCACATCCGTAACCAATGACAAAAACAGATGCAACCCATGATAATGTAAATACCATCCCAGTATTGYAGAGTAAAGGGCTCGACACACAGGGAGTAACAAATGACAGCGATTAACGGCTGTCATCTCAACCAGTGTGAAACCAAACACACAAGACGCGATAGCRATGACAGCGTTGCGAATCGTGCTCTCGATACGATTTTATGAGGTAAAACTTACCGGATACCTTCTCCCTGGTGCCAACAAATTCCCATAAATCKGCCTTTTTTAGTAATCACTTGGTGAAGGGTCATATAAAACTGGAAAGTTTGACAGAGCTAAAATAACACTGAAAGTGTTAGCTAACTGCAGTGTGTAGCATACTCTCCGCTCATTGGTCAGTCAATGAAACCCTCACTGATTGGTTGCAACGCCAYGCGACAGCGACAAAAGTTGAACATTTTTCAACTTTCATATATCACGTCGCAAGCTCGCGTGTGCACATTTACGTGCACAAGCGCAAAATTTCACATGCACTATTTTCACTGGTCACTTGGCTGGAGGAGGGCAAGCGATTGTCGCCTCATCGCACAACTTCCATAGGAAATGAATGGAGAGCAGGCGACGTCGCCTCTCGAGTGTCGAGCCCTTAACTTTGTTCTTCAAAGATCCTTGTATTCAGAATAAGAGGCAAAGTGTTTTTGTACAGGGGTACTTGGGTCAGCCTGACAAGTTTCTGATCATTTTTGGTTGTCAAACATGCTCTTACCTCTGTGGTTTCCTTAATCTCCAAGGTAAAAATATGGAGATCCTCTGACTCTTTTCTCAGCTCCTTCATCTCATCATTAGTGCCAAGCTTAAAGTCAGCCTTTGAACTGCGAGTCTTCAGGTCATCCAACTCCTTCTGGAAGTGTGCAATCTGAGGACAAGCCAGAGATGGGATTATTATATTATATTATTGATTATTAAAATATATTATATATATTATAAGCCGAAGTGAGGACAGTCTTTCCAATTTGCATCTTAATTTAGTATCTTATTAACTGAGAAATGTTTATCTTCATAACAATGATAAGTAATCTTAATACCCGAGTTTTTTAAGACTTTATTTTATAAATCAGTATTTTTAGCACCTGGCCAGATATTGTTTTTTCATCTTATTACTAAAATCATTCAGTCTTCAGTCTTAAGTTCTGTATAGATCATTTCAGAATCAACTGGACTGTTTGTCCTACCTCTTCCAATATTCCAGTCATAATGGGATCAGTTTCTCTCTTTTGCTGCTGCTGCTTCTCCAGAACCTTCGTGCCAACAGCTGTTTGCTTTAAGAAATGACAAACAATTTTCAAAGCTAACAAAAACAGTAAGTACAGTATCAACAACCAATAAACCTACACGTTTTCCCTTTCTTTTTATGAGAAGTTTCAATTAAACATTAKTGCTAGTGGCGACTGCTAAAAATCAAGGTTCTGTAGTGACAGAATATTTTCTATTTGTTGATTATTGTTTGGCTTCATCAGTTCAATGCTTGCTAAAGCCAAGAGTCATGCCTGGAACAAAAATGTCAGCTTAGAAACATGCCATTGGACAGCTTTAGACTTCAAAAAGACAAGAATCCATTCCATCTAAACAAAACAAACAAGGATGTCTGCCAACCTCAGATCACAGACTGCAAAGTTAACAGTGACCCAGGTGACAAAGGACTCATTAACAACCTAAAAACACTGATGAGTGGGATAAAACAGAAACGATTTTCTAAGATGGTGTATGATTAAATGCTTTTTTTTGTTAACAGTAACTGCTTTTTTACCTTTAATTTGACCATTTTGGCCAAAATATATGTAATGATCAATGACAATATGATTATGTTTATTTTTTTAATGTGTTTTATTGGTTGTATTAAATTTTACTGTTTTATTTCTCTACAACATGTCTCTTTTGCATAATGAGACAACTGTGTTTCAACTAGCCTAACCTGAGTCAATGAAAAAGGTTTTGTTGTCTCTCACACAGAACTTTTAATTAATTAAAATATATTTGAGCAAATTATACAGCGTCCTTTAACAAACCGAGAAAAATTTTTTTTCAATAAAACCTATAATACCTGTGGAGTTTGGACACGAGTTTGTGCAGCAGGAGCAGGTTTCTGCACAATATTGGTAGGTGTGCTGGTCTGAACAGGACGCACTGGGGCTAAAACAAAATAAATTAAAAAAAGATAATACAACCAACGCCATTTAGCACAGTTTTTCAGATTTTATCCGTAACTTGACCAAAATATTACATAAAAGCAACAAGCACATGAACTATAGACTTCCTTACCTAATCCCGCTGGTGACTTGGTGGGTGGAAAAGAAGGGGCACTCAAACTGGTAGAATTGGAAGCAGCAGTTTTGGGCAGTGTGGAATTAAAGGAGAAAGCTGGAGCTGGAGTCTCAACAGGTGAAAACCTTAAGAAAGAGCAAAATGATCTTTAGTACCCGAATAATAATTTTCCAATCCTAAAACATGTAAGATATGAAAGTTTAATACCTCTCACTTAGGTTTAATTTGATGGTAGGTGGCGATGCCGTGGAAAGAATCTGAGGTGTTGAAGCTGCAGCTGGCAGGGGTTTGATGGAAGGGGTGCTGAGGGAAAATGCCGAGAGCACAGAAGGAGTTTCAGAGGGAGGCTTAGAAGCAAACGAGAAGCTTGAGGGCCCAGAGCCAAATGGTGCAGATCCCCCAAGGGTGAATGCCGAAGGGACTGATGGGACTGATGGGGCTGAAGGGGCTGAAGTGGCGGAGAATGTAGTTGGAACTGAAAAGGTAAATCCTGATGATGACACAGGCGCTGTAGAAACAAAGCTGAATGGGGCTGCAGAGGCAGCAGGGACTGAAGTACTGGAAGCAGCTGCTGAGGAAAAAYCGAGGTTTGGGAACGAAGCTGGCACAGATGGAATGGAGGTAGCAGGTTTGGCTGGCTGGGATGCCAAAGAACCTGTGAAAAGAAAAGAAAATACTCTTTGGTTCTCATCACATGTTGAAGGAGTCATGTGGACAAGAACATGGATTAGGCCAAAGAAGAAGAAACAAATATTAAGAATGAAAGTTGTGTTGAAAACATTTGAATAAGCTTAATGAGGAAAATGTTGTTATTTAATTAACGTGTTTATTATAAAACTTGGCTGGCGTTGGTAACAAGTGGAGAGAATTTTCAATCGTAATAAGTTATGAGTAAAGAAAGCAAATTTGGCTTTAAAAACTATTACAAATTTTTAGAAAAATAACAAAATTTTAAAATGACACWAAAAATTTATGAACAATATCCTGAGTACTGGCACCAAGTAATCATTTTAGATAATCTGAACCTGACTTATATTCACTTAACGTAAGACATGTTTCCATCCAAGTGTAAATGAAATTTGAGTGAGCYTTTAACTTTCGCAAATAAAGAAAAAAGAACAAAAGAAATGTGAATTGGATGTGTTTCCATCTACTGGTTCTGAGCAAACCAACCAACCTACGCAAAGCTTAATTTTGTCAGACGCTGATGTTAMACATGGATGTAGTAAACAGGAAGTCAGAACTTTGGCAAACGTGTTTCTAACTCCCCTTTTACGCATTAACTCTATCGGAGATCCAAAAACCAACTCAAGCAAGCGTAAAATCTTTTTTTGCGAAATTAGTTTKGTCTAATTTTGCCGTTCTCATCAACTTTTTCTMATGCAAMACTTCAAAATRCACATAAAATAGTGTCGATGGAAACACGGCTAGAGACTTCACAAGATAATACTCTAAAGCACAAATTACCCCTTTATTGATCTGAAGCAGGACTTTAATTATACGTTTATCTAAAGAAAAAAGAACTTTGAACAGATTGGATTAAACTATTTTTAGAAATATATGTGCAAAGAATTTGGACAATTTAAAATATTTTGATTCATATTAGAATAYAATTCAATGGAATGTTAAAACTTCTACCAGACTGTCAGATTATTAAAAGTATCAGATTGTTGATGGKGATTGTTTTAGCCATTTGCACAGGCTTAAAAGTTCCTAACTAGACAAGTTCTTCACTTATCATGGAGGTTGTCCCTTACCAGATCAAGGCTGTATGTGACCAGCTGTTCATCTGTCCTTTAAAGGAACTTCAGAGGCCGATCAGACCTCAAACAACAGTTAAGGCTCAGGGACCTCTTAGGGTCAGTTTCTTGTTCAAGGTAAAAAGAGCTGAGGCGAGGTCTTCAAACCGGTCAGCATGAGGCAGCTGATGCAGCAGAAGCCAGAAGGCAACACACAACTACTGATAAACTGAAAACTGCTCTCTCAACTTACATTTCTGTTTCTTTCTCTTGTCTGCTTCATTTACTAAAACAACTCCAAGCAAAAATGTTTARTTTAGGTTAACAAAAATTAAGGAGACGCAAGAAGAGAAAGGATATCAGAGGAGACAAAAAACGAACGGACAACTCGAGACGAACTGAGCTGCAGACCGCCCTACAAGGTTTTTTCWTCAGTCTGTTATCATACGAAGGTTTGATAACAGCCGAAAAGCCAATTGGCTGAAGCTGGAGTAACCTTGGTGTCTGTACAAATGGGATCAACTTAAACTGTTTTAAATTYTTTTACACAGCAGTAAGACAAGAACAAAACGTGTTTGGGAGTGATTACTRCTTCAACAATGTGCAGCTTACTGTTTTTCTCACCTGGCTTTGGCAATCTCTCTCCTTCCAAGGCGAGATGAGTAGAGGGTGAGACCAGCTGTTTAACCCCGGGATTTAGGTTGAGAAGAGCAAACGGGCAGAGTAAGCCCTCTGTAGACAGCATCAGCATGATGGGTGCTGGAGGCAATGTCTTCTCGTCAGCTTTGTGCAGGGAGACAACAGACACACATTTTTCCAATGAAATCTGCTTTGTTTAAGAAACAGACACAATCCATTATTTTTACCTTGTCATAATTTGCCCTTTGAAACAAGGAGTCAAGGGAAATATTTTAGCTCTATGCCAAAAAACTAAACTGTCACCTAACTAAGATCCATTGAACAATAGAGGATAATTCTCAAGAAAATAATGTTTGATCTTTTGCTCAGATTTGTGCTTTAAACTAATAAACACAAGAAGAATGGCTGCTCTTGTTTGTAGATTRTGTTTGCTCATGAAAACAATGTATTTCTCTCTTTGGAATAAAAAAAACTAAGTGAAAAATTGACACAGAAAATGTTGGCAGTGTACCCATCTTATTGACCTTGGCTCCTTTGCTGAATCTTTAGCTAAAAAAATTAATAAAAGCTCTCTGCAGTCATGTTTARAGAACAATTTTAAGATGCCTCATTTAGTAAAACACATCCCACTGCCTTCCTCTTCTTGCCAAACCCTCAAACCTTTTTCTGCTCCTCACACCCACTTTCCTGCACTTTTTAAAATCTTGCAGCGTGCTGTGGGCTACAGACCAAATGGCAAAAACTCAAGTCGAAACCAACATTTACAGTGATAAAACTGCAGGATTTATGACCCATATTAAATATTCATTAGTCAGAGGTGATATTCATCCTTTCAGAAATATTAGAAAAGAAAAAGCAGCACTCAGAGCAAAACAACAACTRCTGCTCTTTCTCAGTGTGGGGCTGTGTTTGGCTAATGCCTATCATTTTTTTTCCCCAACTTGTGGTTTGCATTTAGATTCTAAGTGCAACATTATGTCAGACTGCAAACTTTCAAACCTTTGCAAACACACAAGCGACACACAAGCGAATGCAAATTTAGTAAATAAAGTTATTCAGAACTAAAATGCAAAAAGTATTTAAAAAAAAGCAATAACTAGCATTTTCAGCTATGAAAGTAAAGTCTGAAAATTATATGAGAAGCAAAGAGGTAGAGGGTGAAGAAGAGAAAGTGAAACAGAAAAAAACAGGAGCACAGTAAACCTCATCAGCATTCTGCAACAGGACTGTCTGGTCTTTGTTGTTTGTTATAGTCCTCTAGCTTGTCTGAGCAATTTTAATGAGTGCATTTTACTTCCTCTGCAGATAATTCTGTTATTACTCCCCCCACTTTACTTTGCCTACATAACGCCTCACTTTGGATCAAAGTTTTAATGAGACTAAAATCATCTCAGTGTTTCTTAAACTGCAGGCTTTTTTCTCTCTCGCCCCCTCAAGAGGGACTGAGTTCTTGGGAGAAAAGGAGATGTGACGAGACAGCAGCTCTACGTGAATGTCTGGCAGACTGGGCTGGTTAAGATGAAAACAGTGCAGAGATTCTTCACACGTATCTCTATACAGCACTGCAGAGGAAGCTGTATGCACAAAGCATCCTGATGGAACTCAGTTTCTCTGATCAATGGAGAAGGGTTAAAAAAAACTGAGGAAATAGATACTTAAATGCAAGACAAGATAGAATAAGATGTGCCATTTAACCAGTTTCAAACAGCCCATTTGTGACACTGAAGGTTTTGACAACGAGGCTGGTGATGAGGTAAATAGTAGGGTTGGGCAATATTGGCAAAAAAATTAATCAAGATTAATTGTGATATTTAGCCGATAACGATTAATTTGACGATTAATCCCCTGGAGTCCCTGGACGCCCTTATATACTAGTCACATGACCAATTTATAGGGAGAAAATTGGCTCTTTGTAAAAATCTGTTCCAAATTGTGTCAAAATTAGAGTTCAGGCTGTATATCAAGCTTTAAATTGTGTTGACAGATAAATAAATTACACAATTTTTTTAAATGTTGGTCATATTTGAATCAGAGAGGAACACCAAGCGGTTAGTCTGCCAGGTGGCATTAATCATATTAATTGTCAACTGCCAAAAATTAATCGATTAATGTTTTTCTGACGATTTATTGCACACGATACGATTATGCGCAACCCTAGTAAATAGTTTCATATACAGCGAACTGTTGTCTTGTATTACAAACTAATCCACTTATGTGATATTTTCACATAATCTTTTCATAAATATTAATACCAGCTCAATGGATACAGTGTAAACAGTTGCTTTCAGCTGACATTCAACCTCTTACCGAAGTCAGGGAGTTCTTATGTACAGATTTTGTGCTGCATTTCTTTAGTTTCTTGATTTGAATTTTACTTCAACAGCCAACACAACTCTAGAATGGCCAACTAACTGTGACAAACAGAGTTTCGAGGTCACTGAAGGTATTGCATGTGTTGAACAACATGGAGATAAAGTTGAAGAGGCCGGACTGAGATGGTCTGGAAATGTCCAGAGGAGGTGGGACAGTGGGTATATTTGTTTTTATGGTATGATATTGTGTATGGTATTATTTATTTGGATGTTAGAGATGCATCTGGCAGGAAAAAGACAGCAAAGATATATGGATGCATTTAGAGAGGACATGGAGGTAGATGGTTTGGGAACAGTGTGATATAAATGAGGATGACTCGCTGGGGTAAGCCCTGAAGAGGGAACAGCCAAAAGCAGAAGGTCTTCATTTGTTTTTCAAAGACAAACACTTACTGATGTGAATCTCCTGCTGGCTGGTGTAATCTATGGCTAAGCCAAGAGGCAGAGTGTCTTCACTCGTCTCGGTCACAGGAAGTTCTGCTCTACTTGCATCTTCGAGAAGCCAAAGTTCCCAAACCTAAAAAGAGAAAAAATATGGTCACAACAGGACACAGCCAGTGTTCTTTACCTACATGTTCTGTAGGCGTTTTCACTAAACCCTCAGGAACAAATTATTAACACAAACCATATTTTTGGTTTTGTTAGTTTTACTTCTATACATTCTCAACTTAAACAAATACAGTTCAGTAGGACAAATAATAGATCTGATGATGAAATGTTAAAAAAAAATAAAAATATTGAGTGTTTTTTTTATATATATAGAAAATGAACAAAACTTTTGACACTTGGTGTAATGAAGCAGTTTTAAAAATAAAATCCAACTAAAGTTTTCTAATTGTAAAACAGCAGTTTAAATACTAGATGTTTTAATGACATCTTATGTAACTTCTTCAAAGCTACATACCTTATCGTCTTGTCTGGACATCACGCTGACCTCAATAGAAGCTGCTGATGCCGCAAACAAAAGATCCCTTGATGAAAAAAATAAAGAACAGAAAAGCTCACCCTCTATTTACTAATAAATAAACCATCGTTTGACTGAACAAAATACATATTTCAAAGTAAGACTGTAAACTGTGTTCATTCTCACCAGTCCTCTATGTGACTTAGGAAGTAATGATGTTGTCGCTCTGCGTTGCTGGCAAACACACTGTCACCAAAGTTCAGATACTTTGTCTCCATCTTTTCATCCTTTTTCTGCAATAAAATAAACAACATAGAAGAAATTGGTATTTACACTCACTAATGAGGTTGAAAAGACAGAAAGGCAATAGAAAAATTTATATTGCAACAATTTAATATGACTCCCATGCACTGCTGTACTTTTTTTTTTATATCTGAATTTAGCTAATTTAAAGAGACAAAGGATTTTATTCCTTTTGAAGCTGAAGATGAACTGATTAAGATGGTATGTTCTTTAAAGGCAAACCACATCTCGCCTTCTAGTTGTCCAATGGACAACCAAGTAAAAAGACCTAGATTAAAGCTCTCCATTGCAACGAATGTTCGTCATTTGTGATGAAAGGGGGAAAAATATGATCAAAGCCAACAAGGGTTTAATCTGACAGTTCTTTCAACCAATAAAGAGAACCACAGTAAAAGTTTTACACAATCAAAGCAGAGCAGGGCAGGTTGTGCTGTCTGATTGACTGGTTGTTCAGAGGCTCTTTGACTGCATCTCCTCTRGCAGCGCGCCTCCAATCTACCCAGGACTACAAAATCTAAACTCTAACTTTGTTTTATTTAAACATTAATGTGTTTGGAGCGTTGTTGTTATCTTACAGACACGTGCAACTTGGGCATGAAAACCTAATTCTGAAAAAAGGCAGCACCGCTGTGGGAATCAAGTGGACCACAGACGCTTTTAGTACTCACAGGTAAGAAAATCATCACTAGCTCAGGGGGGGTTTCCAGGCACCCGTCTGCAGCAGCATACGCCACAGCGAACACGTACGTCTTCAGCCACAACACATCCAAAGCTGGCAGAGAGAGCGCATACGTCAGTCACAATATAAACAGAACCAGAATCATTTCAGATTGTGCATATTTTTGCATCATTATATGCCATTAATAAGATGCAAATAAGCTGGTTTACTACTTTTGACGGGGTCATCTGGGGTGTAAAAGTGTGGACACTGAATCACTCTCTTTTCTTCTAGTGCCTTTGAAAAGAGAAAAACAAAATATGCTTCAATTTTCTTAAAAAAAAAGACAGTTTTACATTGTGGTGAATTAGCTTCACTTACTGGTGTATACTGACTGACTGTGGCATTCATTTTCCCTGCAGCAACCTGCTTTCCCTTTGGACTCCAGGAAACTGTGTTGAGCAAAGTAAAACAAAAYACAGCTGAGCCAAATAAAAGAAAAAACGTCCAAAACTTCACAAATTATGTCTCAAGTGGCACTTACTGCAGGTGATTCCACTTGTAGCAGGTAGCTGAGCCTGCACACTGACAGCATCTGTAACATCCAGAATCATCAGGCTGCCATCAGACAAGCAGGCAGCCAACATGGATGGATGAACAGGATTCCACTTTAGGTCCTGCATCAAAGTACCAGCATCCACGGCTGGCTGCAAAGACGCAAATGGTACCTTCTGGGGTTTTGTCTGAAAAGAATAAATAGTAAAGACGTTTTTAAAAAAACAAAACAATTGGATACTTGAGCAAGAGTTGAATGTTAAATTGGCACTTCCAAATGCAGAGATCTTCACTTATTTATTAAAAGATGTACTGTCAGACTTCATTTTCATTTTATCTTTAATAAATTAATCAATTTTGTGGGGAAATGGCAAGTTACTTGTTAAATGTACACATTGTTTTATATAAATACATGCAGATGTGCTGCCATTCCTGAAATCTACACCATATTAAATGGATATACACATGCATACGTGTGCAGAAAAAAACTTGTGATTTAATAGGGCTGCAATGTATCGTCATCACRATAACAGTCTATGCAATAWGCATGTCGTAAAAACKAAATAAACTGCAATAAATGGTTGGCTCAAATGTTTGCATGAATGCAAACTTTTGAGCCTTGAAGTATTTCATCAATCAAATTGAGCACTTTACATATTTGGTCAACTGAACGGATCTCTTGATATCTGTAAAACATTTTTGCTGGAAAGGAAATGATTTGTTGTYGTTTTTTTTTTCTTTTTTGCTCTGAACTCAGAGCAGAAAGACATCAACACTWGTTGTGTATTTGTTTGTTTATCACAAGTCATATCGTCATCACATTAAGCATTGTTATWGCACATCGCAGGGTTTCCTAATATCGTGAAGCCCTAGATTTTAAGTGTKTGTTTGAGTGACAACAGCATAAACTCAAATAAATACTAAATTTCTAATAACACATAGCCCCCTAAGCATGTGAACTGAAATCATTACCTTGTTAAGGAATGTGCGGACATCATAGAACGTAACAGACAAACCCGACTCCTCCGATGTACCACATACTGACAAAGTGAGTTCGTCACAACTGAGAGCCAAGTGATGCAGAGACAGCTCCACAGTCACCTCCGCCAGCGCTGCCATCCCTTTGACTAAAACACAAAGTGAAAACTTATCCAACCCTGCAGTGTAATGCTGAGAGGATAAAAAGTGATACAAACCTCTGTGCACATATTCTTACCTACATCATAAGAGTTCCCATCAGCTTTATCGGCAGCAAAAATACTTTGAGTTAAGTACACTTTAAATGTTCTGTCAAGCCCCACAAATGTTAAACCAAACTTGTTAGAGATGGTCAGCAGGCTAGATCTGTCTTTAGGCATTTTGTCAGCAGGCTCAAATACTTGGACTTTCTTCATCTGTCGAAACTGAAAATCCTAAAATGAAACAACACAGACGGGTGACCTGTTAGAAGCAGCAAACATGTTCCAGCATCTGGGTGCTACTCATAACAACATGGACACAATGTTTCTCTTAAAAACAACAAAACATTTCCAAAAAATAAATACATTTGATCAAAGAAATAATTACAATACTAAATTAGTGACATAAAAACATACTTCAAGTTCACAAGAATAAATACATGTTTCTGTTTTTCCTCTGAAATGTTGATGTGTTTTTATGCTATGTTAAATTACAGCTATTTAGTGTTCTAAGTTCCAGCTTCTGTTTTTGCAGATATTGTTTTTGGTTTCTTCATTGTTTTATTTTATTTATTTTAAAAATGTATTTCAAAAAGATTTTAAAAATAAAAAAACAAGCAATCATTAGAACAAAAATTATAAAACATATGCATACATAACAAGAACACAAATACCACTACCTTTCTTGTAGTTGTGTTGTGGACATACTAACTTTCTGTGCACAGATTTTATGTGTAAAATTATAGTACTAAATTTATTGTGAAATGTAGTATACGGAGTTTTACGCTTGATTTTTGTTATTCTGTTTAATATATGTCCGGTGAGTCTGAACGAAAGATTTTTTTTTTAAATATCAGTGACTTTGTATAATAGCAGTGACAAGCTTTAAAAGCCACAGAAACAACAAAACAGCATAATTTAATTTGAAAACATTTATTCCGCACTTGGATTAAAATGRAAGTATATTCTTGAAATTACTACGGTGCTAACACGTACGCAGCTAGCTACAAACCTTGCTGAAATTATTCCGACAACTTAGTGGAAAACAACGAGTTACTAAATCTCTATATAGTGCTAATAATAATATAGTTCAGTAAACAGTACGTCTAAAAGGTACCGAAACTACTAACTCAAACCAACCAGTTCGCTAACTAGCTAAGCTAGCCACCAGATGAGTTGACGCATTTAGCTTTCACATGCTAAATCTATCAAAAACAACAAGCCAGGGCCAACCTTCATCTCCCTTTCAGGAGGGCTGTCCATGTCGTCGCCCATTTCGAAGAATAGAAGCTGTCGCCTGTCTTCAAAAGCGTTTCTTACAAAACGAGTGCTGAGACAAAGTTTACAGGAGCTACATCAGGGCAGCAGATCACTGCGCGGCTATTTCTCACGTTGAGTAAGAAACCAGGATAACAAGCAGATGACAGAGCGTTTTGAAAGAGAGCAAAGCAAAGGATGACGAGTAGATGCCAGAATATCCAAACGCGCGCACGGATCTTAAAGCCGGGGTGGTTTATACAAGCAAATAATAATAATAATAATAATAATAATAATAATAATAATAATAATAATAATAATAATAATAATAATAATAATAATCACGTATTGAATTTACTTAACAATGTGCATATTCAGCTCATTTTAATGGAACTAGTTTGGTTAAATAAATTCAACATGGTGCTTAGAGTGTGTGTAAAGGCACTTAACTTTCCCATTTATTGTGAGCAGTTGTTTTTACTTACTTTGGCAAGTATACTTTTTTTTTTCATCAGTGAAAGTAATTTTCTTTTAAGGTACTTTACTTTTACTTAGTTATTTACCTATTTCAAGTACTTTATATATCTCTGATGACATCCAAAAAACTAAAAGTCAAGAGGACCAATATAGGCCTAGGGTACTCTTGTGTATTAGAGTTAACTAACAGTATAAATTGTGTTATCCAAGTACTAATAATGAATGTACTAGATGTGTATGTACATGCAACATTACTGCTAAATAAAATCAATCAATCAGAAAAAGGTTAGCTAAAAGTAGCTAAAAGTAGCTAAATGCATGCTAAATATATAAAAAAGCTAGTTAAAATCTTAAGTGGAAAAATGTAGCTAAAAGTAAAGCAGTAGCTAAAAGTGTCAAAAAGCTGTAAAAGTAGTTTAGAAGTAGCTAAAAGCTAAAGTTTAGCTAAAAGTTTAAATCAGCAAAATAGCTATAAGTAGCTAAATACTAGCTTGGTTCTTTTTTGATTAAACTTTAAAAATGAATAAAAATAAAATAAATAAATAAATCAAAAGTGGAAAGAAGGTAGCTAAAAGTAAAACAGTGGCTAAAAGTGGCAAAAAGCTTATTAATAGTAGCATTATAGTAGCAAAATTTAACAAAATAATTACAGCAGTAAAGCTAAAAGTAGCTAAATACTAGTTAAAATCTAATTAAATACTAATTTAAAATCTAGATAAAGACTAGCCAAAAAACCCAAAAGCTTAGCTAAAATTAGCATAATGATAGCTAAAATTTAAAAGAAGCATAAGGGGAAAAAAGGAAGAAAGTAGCCTATGATGAAGCTAATTTCAAAGAGAACAATGTTTTTGTAGAAAAATAATGAGATCTTAATCTGTTAATTTAAATATTTCGAAAAGTATAAAAGCTGCACTTACAACAGTTGTAGCACCCATTCTCCTGAATAAGCTGAATGTTTTGATATGGCTAAAATAACAAGATCATTTTCCACATTGTTGTCTAGTTGTCTTCATAAGTCTCAGTTGTTTTTATTACTCATGATGAATGTCCAAAGAGATTTTTAAGGGACATAATAGAACCAAAATTAATGTTCATTTAGAGAATAGAGAACTAGTCCTCATGCCTGATGTGAAAATAGACATAATCTTTTTTTCCTACCTTTTAAAGATTTCTCCAATTTGTTTGTGCCTAAGTGCATCACAAGATGTAGGCCTACAAGATTTTTTTGTTGTCAGCACAAGGCAAATCCCTAAGAGCCTTCAGCTCTTGAAACAAAAAGAACCAAGCAAAAAGAAAAAGCTGATCATGATATATGGTGAAGTAAGGACTTTTATTAGAAAGCAGATGTTTTTTTTTTCTGTATTGCATTTTAAAGAAATCAAGAACTCTTGGACTACATAACTTAAAACTGATTATGACAGGAATGAAAGGTAGATTCTTTGATGCAACATCAAAAGTGGCAACTTGCATTTCCATTATATATTATTGATGCCAGAGCCAGAAGGCGCATAAACATTTTAACATTTTTTTTTCTTTTTAAAGCAGAATCAACACTGAAATTGCCCCCATTCAGATTTGCTGCAGACAGTGAAGAACAATACTATGATCAAGCTGTACAGTTGCATGACAAGATCTTTTTTTTCAAAACATTTGCATTGTTGTCCATCACCTGGTTTCCTATGAACCCCAAACTCACGGCCAGTTCAGACGTGGTCCATACTAACGTGGGACAACTCTGTTCATGAAGCACCAAGATTTGAGTCAGTTCTTGCTGCAAAGATGCACACTTATAACCAAGAAGGCTAACGTCGACGTGCCCCTCCGTTCTGGAAAGCGAGCTATAGCACAGACCAAAGCAAGCCAGAAAAAGACAAAGCAAACAGCGAGAGCACAGCGAGTCGTGTCACATCTCCCATAGTGCACTGTGGGCCTCATCCCTTTTCTGATTGTCAGCGCTCTGAACACATGGCTTTAAAAAGTTGCATTTACTCCTCTTTTGCCCATTCAGTCTCGGTTACTCTCGATGTTTCTTTCTTGTTTTTTGTTTTCTTTCCAAGTAAAGTGCTGGCTTTATGTTCAAATTCACAAACATACACGTACAAACTGTTAGTGCATTTTTTCTTTTCTTTTCCGAGTCTACAAGTGATTCAAATGCACACTCGACTGGGTAGTTAGTATTCTGCTCCTAATCAGTACTCTGCTGCCGTTTATACAAGGAGATCACACTTTTTGCAAACATTCAACGAAAGGCCGGGGCGCACGCAAAAGCACACTGCCCCCTCC